TGGGCCGCCACGACAACGCCGTGCGCTACCTGGGCCAGGATTTCGGGCTCTTGGCCASCGAGTGCCGCCGCTCCGGGTCCCTTTTCCGGGACCCCGCCTTCCCCCCGGTCGCTGCCTCGCTGGGATTCCGTGAACTCGGGCCTGGCTCGTCTAAAACCCGCGGCGTGGAGTGGAAGAGACCCACGGTGAGCGTGCTGAAACACTTGGGAATGGTGAAATATCCAAAATTTGGGAGTTTTGGTGAAATCCTGAGGTTAAATGTCCCAAATTTGGGGGATTTCATAAAATCATAAAGTTAAATATCCCAAATTTGGGAGTCTCAGCAAAATTCCGAGGTTAAATATCCCAAATTTGGGGGGTTCAGTAAAATCCTGAAGTTAAATATCCCCAATTTGGGGGGTTTTGGTAAAATCCTGAGGTTAAATATCCCAAATTTGGGGGGTACGGCACAATCCTGAGGTTAAATATCCCAAATTTGGGGTTTTCGGCAAAATCCTGAGGTTAAATATCCCAAATTTGGGGGGTTTGATAAAATCCTAAAGTTAAATATCCCAAATTTGGGGTTTTCAGCAAAATCCTGAAGTTAAATATCCCAAATTTGCATTTTTCAGCAAAATCCCGAAGTTAAATGTCACAAATTTGGGGTTTTCAGCAAAATCCTGAAGTTAAATATCCCAAATTTGGGTTTTTCAGCAAAATCCCGAAGTTAAATATCCCAAATTTGGGTTTTTCAGCAAAATCCCGAAGTTAAATATCCCAAATTTGGGTTTTTCGGCAAAATCCCGAGGTTAAATATCCCAATTTTGGGGGGGGTACGGCACAATCCTGAGATTAAATATCCCAAATTTGGGAGTTTCAGCAAAATCCCGAGGTTAAATATCCCAAATCTGGGGGGTTTGGTAAAATCCTAAAGTTGAATATCCCAAATTTAGGTTTTTCGGCAAAATCCCGAGGTTAAATATCCCAAATTTGGGGCTTTTCCAGCAAAATCCTGAGGTTAAACATCCCAAATTCCGTTTTTTTCAGCAAAATCCCATGGTTAAATTTCCCAAATTTTGTGTTTTTTCTTGTCAAATCCCATGGGAATGCTGAAATCCCAAATTTTTGGGGTTTTTTTGGATGTTTCCCACAGGAGCTGTGCCGGCGCCCGCAGTTCATCGTGGACGGAGCCACCCGCACCGACATCTGCCAGGGAGCGCTGGGTCAGGATTTTTTGGGATTTTTGGGATTTTTGGGGATTTTTTTTAGG